TTCGGCATCTTGTGCTTACTTCCTTGCGTACGGATGACAGCTGCGCATGACCCAATTTTTTTCTGGTGCTTCACTTCCTGAGACAGTTGTAAGCATTGTGTAACTGCCTCAAGAGTCTTAACCAATTTAACACAACATGGTGCGATCACCCCCCTTGCGCGGAGTGAGGATTGTCCACCCCGCATAACATGATCTACTCGACCACCATTATGGTTACCGCCAAAAAAAAATAGGGGCGAAGAACAAGAACGGCAACCTGGTTGCCGAGTTCACGAAGTGAACTGGCTTGTAAAACAACGTCGTTGCCAAGCGACTAAAACCCAACCCCGATGGCAAACACCGGGGGGGGCGGAGGAGGGGGGGGTGATTTGGTTAGCCCAGCCATCGTTTTCGGGTTGACCATCCGCATCCTCTTGAAGCGGACCATCGGTCTCAGACTACAAAGAATAAACTTCTACATGCACCAGTGTCTTTAGGTGCTTCTGAAAGAGCGGCGTTTTGGGGGGGGGGGTAGAGCGTGCTGAGGCTGCTGGCACGCTAAGCTTGGACAACAAAGAGTCTGGTTAAACGGCGGTGCCTTGCCCTCCGACACGGTTAAGGATCGCTCCTCGAGTACTCCCTACACGACACGACACGACACCACACGACACCACACCACACGACACGACACAGCACAGCAAAACGCGCCTCCATTCGGTCGAAAGCAGACAGACAGACAGACAGGCAGACAGACAGCGAACAGAGATACACGGTGCCCACTCGAGACCGCGGATACATCAAATCACCTACACAACCGACAAGCTCATGCGTGTTCTCTCAAACTACACGGCATGAATGAGAGGGGCAAAGACAGACACACACAGGCAGACAGACCGACAGTGAGTGTGCTGTCCAAGCATGACAAACTCATGGACGGAAGAAACGTGCACCAGCATCTTTCTTCCTTGCATAGAATTCACTCTCTTTGCTGCACCTCTTAGGTCCTGTTCATGTGCCGCACGATCTCCTCCGGGGTGGAAGCGAACAGCTCCACGTAGCGGGTGCCCATGTGGTTCCCGTTCCTAGACATGGCGGCCTTTTCTCACACGATCGATTGGAGGTGAGGATCAGAGTGAATACCGGCAACCACGCGCCAGCACGGTATTCGAGGATGAGAACAAAACATACGGCAAGTAAGTCATGAGCGTGGGACACCCTGGTGGGCACCAATGTCGAGAGCAAGATATGGTGTGCGTGACAGCAGTTCTAATCCAAGACGAGATGTCCTAGGACACGAAACGCGCGCAATGCATGGTGCGAGTACGAGTACAGTAAATGGTCGCACACCACTTGTGTGTGTGTGAGAGAGAGAGAGAGAAAGAGAGCGAGAGAGAGAGAGAAAGAGAGCGAGAGCGAGAGCGAGAGCGAGAGCGAGAGCGCGCGAGTGAGGTGAAACAAAGGCGATGCCAAACACACGAGCGACAGAACGACGACCGAATTTCTCCAACAAACTCCACCGGTAGAGAAGTAAATAGGTAGACAGGCCAGTAGGACACAGGACGTACATGTGCATTTCCGCCAGGAAGAGCGGAGACAGACCAACACGCCTGTTGGTGGAAAGAGCTGAAGAGTGGGCCTGTGTGTATAACACAGACCGGCGGCTCCTAGAACATGTTTTTCCCTTTCTCTCGCATACATGCTTAGCCTATGAAAACAAAACAAACGTGTAACCCATGCGCTTCGTCGTGCCATCACTTGGGTGCTATCGTACACCGCAACCGCACCTCCGATTCCGCAGGAGAGCTGAAAGACACGAAAGCTTCTCCGGTAACCCTGCCATCCCCGCGTACCACGAACTGGATCGCGTCTTCCGTGACCGACATCCCTGGACGTTTTAGGTACGAAACAAAAACACAAAACGCGAGCGAGATAAGGTAATCGCGCCGCGAAATCAAACACGCCCCGCCGCGCCATGCATCATTCACACCGTAGTATCCACGGGCTTGCAAACTGGGCAATAAACGTGCACAAGCACGATGCGGTGAGAGCGTTGCAGGAAAGCAGAGCGAACCGAAGCGACGTTTGCGCAAGAGCGTTCGTCAAAAATAATTGAACAGAAAAGACGAGCTGGAAGAGACCCTAGTGTTGAGCATGCACAACCGCAGGATGTCACATGAACAGGCAAAAAAAAACAGCAAACACTTGAAAGAGTCCAACCAACAAACGGGCACACACAGACCAGCACAACGTGCTTGCAACTAGGAGAGCGTTTATTAAATCCTCCCCTCAAAAGCTCTCATCAAAAGCCCTCTCCGCCGGCGATAAGAATGTACAGCAACTATCGCTAGCTCTCTCCTCCAACTGCAGTCAAGAGTGTACAGCTATGGTGCTACCATAGCAAGCTAGCTCGAGCGAGGCAGGCACCTTGGAAAAAGTTGAGGACATCTTGCTTTGTAGCCGAGAAAGGGAGACCTCGCATACGGATCACCCCCGTGTGGACCACGGGCATGGCCATGCCGTCAGGGCCGAGGCCCCCCGCGCCCCCTCCACCCATGGACCCGTGGCCCATGCCCCCGCCTCCCTGCCTCTGCATGCCGCCCATGTTCTGCGCACATCGTAGACACACAAAGGAAGACAGCAAGTGCGGTGGTGACGGTGGCGTGACGATCGTCTATTCATGAGAGAGAGAGAGTCGGGCTTTGGCGTGTACAATCGTTATCCCCGACGACATTCTTCATGTTCAGAAGAACAAGGTGCCCCGCAGAATGCAACAGAAAAGGTTAGGACGGTATGATGTTGATCGAGGACTCGTCCCCGCTTAAAGCACTCTGTTCTCAAATAAAAAACATGAGCGTTCGTAGGGGGGGGCAACAGTTACAAAAGAGCAGAGCACCCTGTCCTAGCCGGGTCGGCTGCTGCTGTGGGGGTGACGCACAAAAAATTCCAAGGGCGGGGGGGGGG